GCGCCGTCAGCCGTGGCCGCCGGGGAGGCAGAAGACTTATAGCCGTCGGAGGGGCCCGGCGCATGCACAGAATTTATCAAAATGGCGTCCTCTACTGAGGGGACGGCGGCAATTGATTCGGCCAAGACCGCAAATCTGTTGTTTGTGGTTACATTAAACGTTTCGGAATCTTCCGGGGATTTTGAAGCCATCGGGTCGACTGGATCGGATGTTTTGAGTTTTTTAATGGAACTCATGGTACTGTTGGTTGGGGACTTACCACCTGGGTGATCCCGGTTAGAGGTCCCGCTGATGAGGTTAGACTCCCACCATGTGGAGGCTGCACTGGGAGGTGGAGAAATGGAAGCGCGGCACGAGCGCTTCCCACCTGGGATGAGATGCTGGCAGCCTTCCAGCGACAGCACGGGCTCTTGTTCAGCTTTTATCTTGACTTGATGGTTTAGGACAAATGTTTAGTTAATCCTTGGTTGCTCCCAGCTCGGGGCCTGTGAGGGCACTGGAGACAGCAAGTTGACCGTTCGTGAAACACGATTGGGCAGCGGCAACCGCAAGAACTGAAGAAATATTGCCCCAAGAACTGATAGACTATCTGATATCGACTGACTTTGGAACTCCAGTAGAGAGAATGTGACGAGAATTGTGACACGAGAATGGTGGCAATGTATAACAAATGTCCGATTTATACACTTTCGGGGCCCCCAGACCAGCCAATTGGAATCTAATATTGTAACATTCGACGCTTATTGGTAAACAAAAGAATCACGAATTCCTATATAAGGCAAAAACAGAGTATATTTCCCGGCAGTAGAAAAGTTCATTCCGAGCGTTGCCTTAAACTGAGTGTATGAATTATTGGTATATTCGATTTTGATGGAAATCGGCAAGTGATTCCAAACTTTTGGCCGGTAGTGTATATCCTTGGAGGATAAAATTACACCTTTTCAATGTACTTATACATAAGATGTGGAGTACGGAAAAATAAATATTTCACAAATTAATTCATTATTCTTTATAAAGCACGTACACATAATACAATATTAAAAAGTTTATTAGTTGCATTTAAATCACTTTCATATTAATAAACGAAATATATTTTTGGAAATAATTTTGCAAAAAATCTCTACATTTCTCCTTAAACAGCTAGTACTTTTACTCGCAAAATATCTCAAATTTAATAATGAAAACAGTATATAATTTATAATAAACTCATAGAAGACATGAATTATCCCATTTATATGACACATCCTATCATTACATCTACTACTCGTTTAGTATTCTGTAAGAGTAGAACGAAAGATACGAAAATATAAATACGTATGAAAATACATAATGAAATTTAATTTTAGCTGTCATTCCGAAAGGCACCGGTGGTCAATTGACTTGAAATTTAGGGGGAGGGGGCGAAACCCCAATACCCTTTTTTTGGGTTGTCTTAGGTTGATTTTGGGTTTGGAACTATATTTCACCAACTTTGTGACTTTAAAGAAAAAAAGAATTTTAGATTTATTGGAGTTACAATAACCGGTTTTGCGTGGGGTACCCTATAGATATTGAGGCTATAGATACTAAGTACTTACTTACTTACATATTGTGTCATCGACTATTCGACAGTCGACGACGATAACGACTACACAGCGAAGACGGTTGTGTTAGTAACGTCTGAATAGGCAACATTCAATGCATAGTACCGAAAGATTTTTATTAATATCTCGGAAATTAAAATTTTATATTTGGGGTCGACCTTTGCTCCCCACCGAATAAGCGTGGTAAAAGTGCCCCTAAACCAAATGAAACGTGTGATACGTCAATTAAAAGAGCTTCCTAGGAAGACAATTTCCTGAAAGTTTTAACCCTCTATCCCTATTATTAGGGTAGTTATCAACCTAAACATCATTTTCATTTCATACTTTATTTCTTTTGTTCTATCCCACAAAAAGTTATGAAGAAAATCTGAGATACCCATAGCCAGAGTGTTACATATGTATCTGAGAATTTTTTCAGATTTTTTGAATGAAAAACCTATTTTTAACAAATTAAACAACATTTGAAATGCCAATTTTTTATTAAAGTTATCAAATAACTACATTCACATTTTTACAGTAGAAACTACCTGTCATGTTTATTAACTCATAATATGTTCAGAATTTTTGAAACCCTGCGTCATAGTTAAAAAAATTAAAAACCACTATTTTTTACCGTTCCGTGCACGTAATAGTCACCTCTAGTAACAGCAAGAGGTGTTTAAATTTAAAAAAAGAATATATGATTACGCTCCTTGAAATTCTACCTACAAAATGAGCCCTTTTACAGAATGGAGAGTTTATTGAGCAATAAACTTATTCGGCTAGACCCTTTCAAATCAATCATCGGCCACTTGATGCCTTTCGAAGGAATATCCTTAATTTTTAACTTAGAATAAGCATGTACACCTAAAAATGTAGTCAGTGCATTTAAAATAGTGTATAATCTTTTATAAAAAAAAGATATAATTGAGGACGTTTCTGAAAAAAGGATCTATAGATCAATAGACCCTTTTCGGTAAATCGCCTTTAACTAACTGTCATATGTTTAAAAATGTTCCCCTAACATTTATCGCAGTATTCCAACAATTGAGATAAATACAGTACTTTCTGTTTACTTGTGTTCGGTTGATCTCTGTTATTTTACTCGGCAACCGTTCATCCGCCTGATTTTTGTTTACGTCTGCAACAATTCGATGATCATTCAATATTTGCTTAGTTATTCAGAAGATTTATATAATGAATTTAATGTATCGTAGCAAATTACTCAATCAGTGTTTTTTGAGTAATTTAACCATTCTTGCTCTATACAGGGTGTCTGTTTTATCTCAATACAGCGAAATATCTTTTAAGGAAGTGATGTTAGGGAAAAAATGTTTTAACAAAAATTGTTTGGTACGAGGGGGAAAATTATGTGGTATAAATACTTTTTTTGTACCGGGTATGATGGAGGAGATTTCAAAGTCAGTTTAATTTTTTTAAATAGAATGCTATATTTTTTTACACATAATATAATAGTGTATGTTAAGACGAGTCCAACGAGGTGCAAACATAGTCATTTTCTTTCATGGAAGGTCGTAAAATGCGGAAAACCGGGAGCCATACGTTCCTCACTGTCGCGTGTGTCTGTTTTATCAAAGGAAATGACTTTGTTCGCACCTAGTTAGATTCGTCTTAACACACACTATCATATTATGTATAAAAAGATATAGCATTCCATTTAAAAAGGAGGTGCGAACATAGTCATTTTCTTTCATGGAAGGTCGTAAAATGCGAAAAACCGGGAACCGGACCACCATACGTTCCTCACTGTCGCATGTGTCTGTTTTATCAAAGGAAATGACTTTGTTCGCACCTCGTTAGATTCGTCTTAACACACACTATCATATTATGTATAAAAAGATATAGCATTCCATTTAAATTTGTTAAAACATTTTTTCCCTAACATCACTTCCTTAAAAGATATTTCGCTGTATTGAGATAAAACAGACACCCTGTATACTTTATATACTCTATATACTTCGCTCTATATGTATACATCATATTGCGGCACATTCACAACGTTGTGGTATACAAGAATTTAAAAACATTAAACTTTATTCTGTGGATCATGTACCGATCAAAAAAAAGCAAAAGAAAAATACTTTCGCTACTTGTATCCTCTATATACATCATATTGCGGCACATTCACAACGTTATGGTATACAAGAATTTAAAAACATTAAACTTTATTCTGTGGATCATGTACCGATCAAAAAAAAACAAAAGAAAAATACGTTCGCTACTTGTATAGCCAATAAACCCAAATAGCACACGTCTTACAATTAGAGACGTCTATTTTTGGTCTGAGCGTCTTACAATCTGAATTGGACGTCTTAAAGACATAAGTAAGTACTTACGCATTATTCAACGTATAAAAATTACGTCTTTAAGATGTTCACAAGACATCTGTGTGCTATACAATTCAAATATAATAATATATTGGAAAAACTAAAACTAAAACTTCTAACCCGATTTACTCAATTCATTTCGGATTATGGGCCCTTTTTTCAAAAATGTCCTCAATTACAGTTATTATTAGTAAAAATAAGAATATACTTGAATAAAAGGTAAGAAAATAAATATTATGTCAAGTACTGTTTTGCTAACTTCTTCTATCTTCAATCACACAGAAGACATGACTCATTCCAATTATATGACACACCCTGTACGCAATATAAGACTAATATGTAAGTACATACATAAAGTTTTATGTGGCATTACATATACTACCCACTCAGTATTCTGTACGAGTAGAACGAAAGATACGAAAATATAAATATATATGTATATGAAAATTCATAATGGAACTTAATTTTAAACTTAGAATAAGCATGTATACATATATCTAAAAATGTAGTCAGTGTATTTAAAACATAACTGGTTTAAAATAAGATTATGATCAATAATAATTACTTTATGCGTAGAAACTGAAAAAAATGAACTGTATTAAAAAGAATATTCTGTCTTTCGTCCCTTTCTCAAACATATTATCGTATTGAATTCGTTTTAATTTATCTCAATCCACTTTGTCATATATGTATGTATTTCATGAGCATACATTTCAACTTACGAAATGATTATTATATTTTAGTTAATACGTATGTATATAAGGCTTAATGGAATGCATGCATGTGTACAATTTATACGATGAAAATTGACGTTCAGTCAATTTAATATTTTTCTTAGCGTTTAAACGTGACGTATTGTTCCTCCCGCTTAATAGCTCTGACTAGCGTTAAGCTAAGAGCGGCTATTATTATCTGCAAAATTTAATTCATTATTAGAAAAAAGGTAATATCATCATAAAAAGCTATGCATCAAAATAGACTGTAAGAAATATGAAGTAATCTAAGAAATAATTTATTTTTAAAATCTCTATACCGCTACTATTATAAAATACGTTTAAGGTCTTACATGGAGCATACATAGAGCCAACGCTAAACCGGCCAGCCAACCCGATCTGCCTTCCAAAAACCATGAAATCTCTTCTACACACCCGTAGAAGAAAGCATTTCCAGTAACTGTATTCCTACATTCAGTGGGTAGTGGTTTTCTCAAGGTTAAATAATCCATCGGACCATCGGCACCACAGCAACCGATCTATTTTAAAATCACACGATTAATTTTACGCTCCTTACTTTAGCGTGTACAAAAGAAATACAAAGAAGTTTCAAAAATATCTCGACGTGCAGATCAAATTTTATGTTATACACGTTTTATGTAATAAAAAAACATATCACTTTAATAATTCTGCATTAATTACTTCATATCTATAGAGAACAATCGTGAAGAAAATGTCCAACTTATATAATTACATGCTATCTTTAATTAAACTACGAAACAGGTACAACGCTCTACATAGTAAGAAATATTATTTATTAATTATTAAAATAAGCTCATCACGGTTTAAATGTTTTCTATTTATGCATATTCAATTATGTAGTACGTATATTTATAGGATGACATATTATCTTACACTTTCTTGAATTAATTGTAAAATGTATGTTGTTCTTTCATCATGGTAGTTATTAATAAGGGCAGTCATAGATCGTCGTATAAGCGGTTGAATTTTACTGTCGTAGGTGGAATAATCGAGGAGCACTGCGGTCCCTGCTATGCCGAGAATGTAGGAAAATAATTGCAGACCTACATACTGGAAAATCAATGCAATTATGCTTAGTCATTATTACATTTTTTCATCAACAAATATTTTAAGTAGTATAAAACATTTTTCATACTCTACACTATTTCACCAAGAAGTACCATACTACTATAGATACTAAAAAATATGAAAATTGTGAGAAAAATTATACACACATTGTATAGAAGAAACTTTGTAAAACTTCGTTAATATCACAATAGGATACAATAGAAAGTTACTTTTGCAAAATTTTAAGAAATAAAGGAAGCGCTAATTTTTTAATATTTTTGAGAATATTTTCAATAAAAAGAGAAAATTATATTCCAACGATAAAAAGTGTAATATAATAAATTATTTACAGTATTTCTTCTAATAATTTTGAGGAATACAGGACATCTGATCTATTTCAGAATACGTTATGGAATCATTCCACGAGAAATATCATATGTGATATTTCTGAAACAGTTACTTTTTAAATTAATAATCATAATAATTAAGTATAGCTTACAATGTAAAGGCCAAAGATATGCTCCATTAGAGCAACCCCACAGCCGACGAAAGTTATAACTATGATGAATATCGAAGCCGCAAGTAAGATATAAATGCCGATGTAAAATTCGTATATCTCAAGAAACTCGACCCATTCCTGGAAACTTGGATCCAATCTTAGCCACATACACAATCCCAACATTGCACTTCCAAGTAACTAAAAAATACGTACAACGTTTGAAAAATTTTTTTAATCGTACGTTTTTATGTAAACACTATTTTTAAAAGATTCTAGCATTCCCTTTTAAAACTTTCATTGCAACTTATTTTTAATCTAACCTCAATTCAGCTATACATTGCAATGTTAACTGATTCGATTTCAATAGAATAAGACTTCTATCGTAAATATCTCAATAAATACTCATTTTAGACATATTAGACCTTAATATTTATTTACTCAGCTTTTAATACTCTCTTAATAAATATAGGGTGTTCCATTCTAAAAAATCATGGAGACCTTCAAAACTTTGTGTATAAAAATAATATAGAAACAACAATTATTGTAACATATATCCCCCTTGAAATCATGCAACTTTTGCTGCATACACTATTTCGTACAGTGAATAGTTTACGAACAATTTGAGGTCGTCAAGTTAGGTGAATCACCCTGTAGATATGATTGCTACATCGTGATCTAACTCACGTTGATTCGCGTGTAAAAGGGATGTATGTTGCAATAAGAAACATTTTTATATAAATTGCCTCCGCAAATACATTTATATAGTATCAACGGAGCATCAACAATCACTCTCGTAACAGAATTAGTCCAAGCAAAAAGACATTTAGAAAATGAAACTTATAGAAGGCTTTAAAAAAAAGTTCTTCCTTAGGAAAGTCATATCTCTGAGAGTATTCTTTAAAAATATTATCATTTGATTAAGAAAAGCAAAGATCCGAGCAAATCTTTTTACAAATTAAATTTTGATTTTTATATTAGTTGATTGGTAATAACTCCTCCGATAAGCTTCGTGTATAGACTAAGTATAATCACATTTGTTCTGATTTTTTCACTTACCCATATAATGGCATTCAAGCAGAAAATAGTAAATTTTATACATTGAATTCGTTGTTCTAATTGTGGCCCGGAAGTTTTAGCAACCATAACCATTTTGTTACCAAATTGCTAGTTTTGACACTCGTGTATACCAAATAAATTTTATAATCAAAAACACAATTTAACTTCTACCATCCGTAAAAAATCACTTAATGAAATAGTATCGAAATGTAGGCACCGTAATTATGAACGTATATGACAGTGTATACCTGATTCTCCCAGCTCGTACTCTCTTTATCGTCAGCAAATATAAGATAACTGGATAAGCACATCCTAGATAAAAGAATCGTTGCATGTGACTCATTCACGTTACAGAAAATTATTATCACTAAGGTAGCCGGTTTTAAAAAAGGATGGAAACCGTTTGTTATTATTTTCCTTTTACGTATACGTTATTCGTGTACAGTTAAAACTGAATCTTCTAAATTAAAAAAGTATATACAGTTGCCCCCCAAATATTTGGGCACTGACAAAACAACGATTAAACACGTTTAATGTAGACAAAACTATTCAGAATATTTTAAACGTTGTGAATGTGAGTAATATAAACATTTTACTATGAATATTCAAAATATTCATTTTTGTTAGGTGTTCGAATATTTGTGTAATATAGGAATTGGACATAATTTCCACTTATTTTTCATTACAATGTTATGTAAAAGCATCAACCCAATTTTTTTTATAATCAATCGAAATATACCATTAGAAGGCAAACTTGTATAATGTCTGAATATTTTTGGGAGTATGTAACTGTATATGGACAACAGCGGGTAAATAGTAATAATTAGTTAACTACATGCCAAGTATTTAAATATAATACAAATTCTACTTCTAATTTATACAGCTGTAAATATCATTGCCAAGATAAATAAATTTGTACATATTTTTTTACCTAATTAAAGTAAGTTCATTAATATAAATTATAATTCAATTCAATAAAAACATATTTTGTCTTTGTTTACAATTAGAGTTAATCATGAATAGCACTTCCTCTAATATTGAATGAGTTTTCTGCGAGATATATTATTACTCGTTACTTCATTTTTAATGTTAAAAGCGCGTACGTGTTTATAGTAAATTATAAACTTCATTATTATTAATATTCATTAGACAAAAGTAAAATTTCATAAGAATCTATGGATATTTATACAATTTACTTGTACTATGAAATATCTTATATATTAAAGTATTCATACAGCAAAGTAATTGAGCTTTTTCAAATTAACTCGACACAATGTTACCTTGAACTTCCTAAATTATCCTAATACAATATATAATTTTACTAAAATGAAATTTCACACTTTACATTGGATAATCAACGCGCTGTTTTTTGTATACAATTCCCTTATCAGTAATCACGTGGACCAGACGTACGTAATCATACGCGGGTTGATTTGATAGCATTCGGTCATCTTATAAGTGTAACTCGGTCATGATGCTTGCGCTATAGAGCAAAAGCATTCCGGCATCAGCATCCGAGTTGATTTCTGAAACGAATATGTAGCATGAAAGTGGGGATGCAGCATCAAGCAAGACATGCTTTGCTGATGTGGAACTTCGAGTAACCTGAGCTGAAACTGTAAAATAAGCTATCATTGACGCCTCTAACGTTCGACATTTTAATAATTCCATTTATTTACTGATTTTCGATATTCTTTTCTTGTTTTGTGTTCACGTTAGTTATGCAAGAATTCATGCTTCTCCAAATTCTGATTGGTTTTTCTGTCTTGGCGACGGCAATTCCGAAACCGGAAAACGATCATAAGCCGCGAATCATTAATAAGGTTTGTGTATAGTTTTCAAGTAATTTGGACTTTTTAAAAGCTTGTGTAACAAAAGATTTTTATTTACAAACTCTTAAAGGTAAAGATCATTATTATTTTAACAAAAACGAAATCTTCTATACATAACCTGGTTTAATGTAGTTAAATAATTTTAAATAATGTACTGTTTTTATAATATACTTCTTTTTTATTTTAAAATTCATTAAAATAAGTCGTTTTTCTAAATAAATTTTATTTTAGGAGCCAAGTAAAAAAGAACATTTTGTTAATTCCCAACATAATCCAGCCTATGATCATGAAGCTTTTCTTGGCGAAGAAGCGAAAACATTTGATCAACTTACTCCTGAAGAAAGTGCAAGAAGACTAGGAATAATAGTTGATAAAATAGATAAAGATAAAAATGGTTATGTTACTGGAGAAGAACTTAAAGACTGGATATTATATACACAACAACGTTACATAAGAGACAATGTTGAACGTGAATGGAAATCTCATAATCCGGAAGAAAAAGAAAAACTGCCATGGACAGAGTACTTAGCAATGGTTTATGGAGATATGAATGAACATGAAGCAGAAAATCATGAAAAATCCAAAGATAATGTATTTTCATATGTTGCTATGCTTAAGAAAGATCATAGACGTTGGACAGCTGCAGATTTAGATGGTGATGATGCTCTTACTAAAAAAGAGTTTGCTGCCTTCCTTCATGCAGAAGAAGCAGATCATATGAAGGACGTTGTAGTTTTAGAAACTATGGAAGATATTGACAAAGATGGAGATGGAAAGATATCTCTTTCAGAATATATCGGTATACATTTTACTTCTTTTTTTATTTGATTTTTATAAATATTGACTGATTAATGTCAATTTAGAAACTAATTAAAATTCATATTTATCAAGTAATCTTTTACAATTATATTTTTCATTATAGGTGATATGTATGATGGTGCAGAAGGTGAAGAAGAACCAGAATGGGTAAAAAATGAAAAGGAACAATTTTCTATGTATCGTGACAAAGACGGCGATGGTTTTCTAGACTTTGATGAGGTGATAATATATCTGCAAGATAATTAAAATGCAAGATAACAGGATTAAAATAATAAATTTGATTTAATTAAATATTTTCTTTTAGGTGAAAACTTGGATTATTCCACCTGACTTCGATCATGCAGAGGCAGAATCTCGACACCTCATATTTGAAGCAGATACAGATGCAGACCAAAAACTTACCAAAGACGAAATACTAGAAAAGTATGATATTTTTGTTGGTTCTCAAGCAACTGATTTTGGCGAAGCATTAGCTAGGCATGACGAATTTTGATAAAATTTCATACATAATTTTTAACTTGTACTTTCATAAATGAAAAAAAGCGTAACGGAAGCATCAAAAATAAAATGTATAAAGCATTTATTAAAAATGTTTATCTTTACCAGTAGACTAAGAATCTTTTTATAATGGCTGATTTTTACTTACTTCATAATATTATAGAATAAAAATTTTTACATCTTTAAAAAATTTTAATGTATATTAGTCATTGTAATAAATTACAACTATTTTAAATATCGAAATATCGATTTCATTAGTCAAACAAATTTTTTTATTGTATGCATGTGGTGCTAATTACAACTACTGTACTATAGTTGTAGTATGTAGTCGTTGTACTATAGGTGCAATATCAGGTTTCTGATAGATTATTATGATAAAGACTATCTTTATCAGATAAGCTCTATGAACTGATTACAATAAATGGTAAACTGGACTGTTTGAAGTGAAGTATTAGACATTTCAAAATGATGAAAATTGATTTATGTGTATTCTTAATTATTTGTCATGGACTTTTATTGTTGGGTAATTATATTTGAAACATTTAAACTTTACAAAGTTGAAAAAGTATTTAAACCATATTTGCTGTCTGTTTTATAGTTAAATCAGATGAATCACAGTGCTTTAACTTCACTTGGCTAGCACCTGGGTTTCAGAATTCACCTGAGAGATATAATTGTTCAACACGTAAAGGTGTTCCTTGCATTCCAGATATAATTATTACAGGTAAAATTGTTTACTTCCGTAGTAATAAAATAACAATATAAATATTTGTATAAATACTTTCACTTATATTTAAATAATACAATGTTAATGATATTCATTTTGAATTTATTTATTTTTGTACATTATTATGTACAAAATACATTATTTCTTATTAACAGCAACAAAATAATCATCTAAATTTTAGAAAATCTCCCTAATACAACAAGTTTTTGGGAATCAAAGGAACATTTATGTACTGCAAAATCTGGCAATGTCTGCATAAAATATACTTTTATTTATAACAATGATAGTAAGTGCATCATTCTGTAAAAATTTATATCAAAAGATATAAAATACATTCCATAAATTTAAAAATGATTGCAGTTGTTAATACATCATCGTTTTGTGGAAAAGCAATAGAAGATAAAACAGTACCTATTACATCGGGATGCTATGAACAACATGTAACATCAAATTTATAATTTTCTATTTTATACCTTATATTTTATAATTTGTAGCTAATATATAATAATTTTCGTATAATTTATTTAGTGTATATTTTATATATACAAGCATTTGTTCAATATTTTAGAAAATTTTATAAGTTATTATATTTATAACTTGATTTTATATATTAGTAACTTCCATTTTTTTTTAAATTGAATTATGTCATATTTTTATAGGTAGACGGTTATGTACTTGAAATGTGTGCTTGCCAACCTAGAAAAGGGAGAGAACCTTGTAATGTATCAGTAAAAACAAAATATTCTATTATTTTAATGATTGCAATGTTACTCGCATTTATAAATTTTGCGTAATGTTTGTAAATTATTATAATATGTATTTTAAAATATATTTTGGTATATGTAATAACAAAAACAAAGATATCAATAAAATGTAAATTATACATGTCATCAACAAAAATTTATTTTTTTAGATAAAAGTGACAAATTACTAAAAAATGGAGAAACATAAAGTAATAATTATTTACAATATTGAATACGAATTGAGTATTAAAAATTGTAAAAAAATTAAATAATAAATGTTAGTTATGTCATCTTATAACAAAAATTATACGAAGCAACATTAAAATTAATTGATATATTTACTAAAATTAATTCTTGGGTAATTCATTATATAAAATTAACAAAACAGGAAAATATATTTTAAGATTGAACTAGTAATAACAGAAACTCTTCCTAGTAAAAAGCTATAATAGTATCGTTGCACTTAAAAGAAAATGAATGATACTATTTAACTGCTTTCAACAAAATGTATAAAGAAATATGTAAAATAAAAAACCTAACAATTTTTTAATAAGAATTATTTGAAGATTCTATACATCGAAACCATAACGGTTCCGTAATTGGACATATCCTTTTGCCTAGGAACTTTTCGCAACAATATTATGTACATGGTTGTATGTATACAGAAAGAAAACTATTTATGTGATCCATTTATGAATCTGCTAGTAGTGCGAACCACGAACAAATGTAGTGACTGATTTTGTATTAATCGCATGGCATATAGTTTAAAATTGTATATATTACTTAAATATGAATATTTCCTTTACAATATGTTAAGAAGCCGTTTGTTTATAATAATGTAAATGGATATTCAGGGCTGATACATTTGCCGACAAATGTAAGCATCGCATCATTATACTTGTTATAATGTTACAAAGAAACATTTGTATTAGGTTACTTAACTGTGTA